TAGAAGGTTGGAAACGATAATGAAATGCTAATAATTGAGATATGAAATCTTGGTCATGAAGAAAATTTATAGACCATACATTATATCTAACACTTCCAATCTAAAAAATACGCGGACCCAATAACACTCATCAATGATTTTTTTTTTGTTTGGAAATGTATATCTCAGGCTCTATTATTTACCCATTAATGAGTATTTCTATTTTAATTATAAAATATTAATCTTATAGTTTAATTGGACAGCTTAGCAAAAATTTGTGACAATTTAATAAGATAGAAGATTCTTATCATGTCACGTCATTAAATTTTTATATTTAATAGATAATTATAATGAAAACGTAATCATTAAAAATTAATATATATATATATATATATATTCTTCTTTTAACAAGCACACTCAAGAAAATTTTGATATAGAGAGAAAGATATGATGTTATATTAAGCATGACAACGACTCTATATATGCTTTACGACCAAAGAAGAGTATAAAAAACGTGCATACTTGACTGCCACTAAATTCTCCGTAAGAAAGCATTTTACTGAACATTTCCTATGATCATAACACAACTTTTATCTGCAATATTACGATCAAGCATTCAGCAACGCGGTTTCTTTCTTAGTTCATGGCGATTGGTGTTGCATGCCATTTTTTAAGTAATTAAGGACTAGAAAAAGTGAAGTCAGAGGCTATAGAAAATCACATATACGACAAAGGTGATGATAGAAACTTAAATTTAGAGTTGTCAAATGGGCCCGACCCTGCCCGTAACAATGCCGGATTCGGCACGGTTCAGTACGATACTGTTACGGGCCGTGCCGGCCCGGCACGTTTGATGGGCTAGGGCTGGGCCGCGGCTTCTCAGCCCGCGGCCCAAGCCCGTGAAGGCCCGCGGCCCGGCCCAAGCCCAGTTCAGCCCAAGCTCATATTCGGCCCTTGTTCGGCCCGGCCTAGGCCCACGAAATGGCCCGCCAAAAAGCCCTCCAGCCCGTTCAGATTGTGACCGTTGGGCCCGCGAAGGGCCCAATGGTCACAATCCGAAAAAAGCCCCGAAAATCCCCTATAAGTACCTCTTAATCGCACCCTAAATCCCACACAATAATTCACTCTCAACTTCTCATCTCACTCTCATTCTATCTCTCATCTTGTCTCTTTGATTTTGATTCTAAGCTTTTTTCTCGCGATCACTCATTTTCTTGCTCTTTCATTTACAAAGTTTAAGTTCAATCAATTTTCAGAAAATGGCCGCATCAAACTTCCCTGGTTTCATTGCTCTTCATGAGCTTGGTGGTGAGCCATTTTTATCCTTCATATCTAGTTTTGGAACTCGGCTCCAAGAATTCAAATAATATTGCAGGAACAGTCAGATGCGCCCAAGAAAGTTCCCAACTAACGTGAGACATTGGTGGAATTCCACCTATTTAATGTTGAAGGCAGCACTCCCGTATTCAAAGCTCATCACAACGTATGTAAACAGTAAGAACGATCAGCTTTTAATTTTCGATACAAATTGGCAGATTGGTGAGTGTTTTTTTTTTTAATTTCTAGAAGTTTTCTGCAATGCTACTGAATTACTTTCCGGATTTTATTATCTTACTGTACATTTAGCTTTACATCAACTATTTAATATTTCAGAAATATTTTCTTATTATAGGGATACTGAACTTTTTGGAAACATAGTTAAGCTAATGCAAACTAAATTTCAAAGTTATTAGTCAGGTTATCCTATGTTATATGCATTAGCAACCATTTTAGATCCTATGTGCGGAGTAGATGAGACATAATATTTGATGACTGCTACAGTAGAAAATTTAGGTATTGATATGCAACTAACTATTACTGACACTATGAAAATATGATAAAAGTTATTTGGTTTGTATGAAGCAAAATACAACACAAGTAAAAAAAACAGGGAACTTCGACATCAACTAGCAGGTCGGGGCCTAAAGGCTCGTCATGGAATTTCTTGAAGAAAAAAGAGAAAACGACAGGATCATCATCAACACAAGTGTCTACCGAACTGGTAAAATATTTTGAAGTAAATTTTGTAATCGATGACGACAAACTGGACATCTTACAGTGGTGGAAGAGCAAGACCGATTGTTTTCTAACACTGTCCATAATAACTCATGACATTATGACAACTCCAGTGTCAACGGTAGCATCAGAGCAAGCATTTGATGCAAGCAACTAAATTCTTGACGAAAAAAGAAGTAGAATGCATCCAGATATCTTAGAGATGTTAATGTGTGTTAAAAATTGAGAAAATGCCAGAAGACGAAAACAATAATATACGAAGAAATTATGAGCTGCCTTAACCATGACATTACCACTTACCGAATTACGTCATACTTCTTATATTATCACTTCTGTGAAAGCTTTTTTATTCTTATTAATCTTCTTTTCTTTCCTTGAAGAAAGAGTTATAGTTTCACTGTGATTTGTCTATTGATAGACAAACCCGCATGCTCATATTATTTGTCAATTAAGGTGGAATGAAGTTTATTATGATAATATATAAATAAACTATTTTCTTTTCTTTTTTCTTCTCTTGAATGAAATTCTCTTTTCCCTTCAAATAATAATAATAATAATGATAATGATAATAATAATTAAGAGTAGTAGTAATAATAATGAATTGGACTATTGTTTTTTTTTTTTTTTCTAGGAAAAAGATCAATATAGTGAATCAAGATATTATATGTTACTTAAGATTGATGAACAAAAAAACAAGCGGACATGCATTGAGATTCTTTCCATATCCTGCTCCCTAAAATCCAAAATATCATCTTATCATTCCTCCATAATTATGATCAATCAGACTTGTTTCAAATCCATTCATGGACATAAAAATGACAGTTTCCTTCCACTTTCCAAGTTCAAATCTTTTTGCTTTTTCACGGCTTATTGGAAAGAAAAATACCTCGAGAAGATATTGGTGGCATTCAGCTGTATTCGCTTTTAACACTCTCAAAAAGACTCTTTCAAACCCCAAGTAGGTCCAATTACACACAGAATAAGAAGAAGAAAAATATATAATATATTTTAAAGAGAGAGAGAGAGAGAGAGAGAGAGAGAGAGAGGGAGAGGGAGGTTGGTGGTGGCCTACCACGTAGACCAAATCCTTTCTTCGTTGTTGAAAAGTTTTGCGTACTTCCATTTTCACATGAACTTTATTTACTTGAATCAATCACAAATTATGTGATGACACAGGGTGCTGTTGAAACTTGAAAAGAATCCAAAGACAAATATGAACAGAATGAAAATCAAACACCAAGTAATTAATTTATATCATTTAATGCCTTTTTTATTTTTATCCTATTCACAACATTCAAGTCAGCCCTCTAGCTATATTTATTTTCTTTTGGTGCGCAAATTTTTATAATATTGTTTCTCCTTTTCGCCATTTCACTTTTTGGGTCCAATTATATATATACATGCATTTACTTTCCATATTCTTAGACGTTCCTTACCAAAATAAAAAATTTATGAAAAAAAGATGGTATTAATTAATTAAGTTGTATTGGATGGAGTTGTATAATTGAATCACAACAAGCAGGCAAGGTCAAATTGTGACGTATTAGACATGATAGTGGGCTTCCTTGTTTTGTGACTGTTTCTATAAAGTCTTTCATTATACTTATTTTTTTGAAGCCTGACACTGCCATGTGTCCTTATTATAATTGGTGGTTTCCATAATTTTTTCACCAATTGGTGGTTAAAACTTACACTGCGTTTAGAGCAAGGATTTGTGTCAGGGTTCAGATTATGGTTTGTGGCTCGTTACAATATTTTCTCTCACAAAAAACACACATAAACTAAGAATGGTTCTGAATCATATTTCTGAATTTATGAACCAAACGTTTCTAATCAAACCCTTAATTCTTTCGTTATTGTATATACACTTAATTATGTAAAACCTACCAATTATTGTTGCTTTAATTTCAAGGTAATGTTGTGTGGTTACTCATCTCCTAGTGGTTATTTGGTTATCTACCTCACCCAATATAATCCCCCATTGTGGATTCCACGTGATTCTAATGCTTGACAAACTTCCCTTTCTAAAGCATATTTTCAAACAATTATTATATATGGAATAGTATTATTCCATAATTCATTATTTAGACCCATTAACAGAAATATGATCATGCATAGACACACACACAACACACTTATTAATAGTAATATTATTGAACTTGCTACTAGATAGACATGTTGGAACTCTGTAACATATATATACATCTTTAAGGTCATTAATTTAATTACATAAAAAATCTAAATAACCCGGTACCACTAAATTGCATATTTCACTAACCAAATTAGTCTTGAACTCTATAATTAAATGAAAGAGTAAATATCAATCTAATAACCAAAGTCCTGAACACATATAACATTTCCCATAACATGGCTGACTTCATATATTGATTCCTGCATGAATCATATATATATATATATATATATATATGTATGTCGATGCATGCTATCATCATATCTCAATAGTATCATGCGTAATCGATGGTGTGCCATACTGAGTAAAGGCATCAATGAGGAACCATTCAAACAACTGAATGTTTACCCCTTTTGGGCTGCTATTCTTTTGATTTTGGGTCCACCAATTTTTTCATCATGCATGATGGTCATCATCAACCACATCATGTGTACAAGACATAGAGAGAGTGAGAGAGAGAGAGAGAGAGTGAGAGAGAGGGGTGCACGGGAAGGAAGGGATGGAGGAGAAATGTTTGTTGATTCTGGATTAATAAGAAAGACAAGAAGAAAAGCCCGGTTCTACAGTTCTAGCATTTTCAATTTCTCCCATTATTCTATACATAAAGGTCTCATCTTTTTCTCCATATCACCTTTTTGAAATTCTGTGACCTCTTCCCATGTCTCTCTCTCTCTCCCCTTCTCCAGCTATTATGCTCTCTCTCTCCTCTCTCTTCCCTCCTTTATATATATCTATATATAATTAACCATATCATTTTCATTATCATCAAGTGCTAACAAACCAGGCTTACTTGACCTCACAAACCACTCAGTAACACACACACACACACACACACACACACACACACACACACACACAAACCCCAAAAAAACAAAAAGAAGAAAACATGGGAAGAGCTCCTTGCTGTGACAAAGCCAACGTCAAAAGAGGCCCTTGGTCGCCTGAGGAAGACGCCAAACTCAAGGCCTACATTGACCAGAACGGCACCGGTGGAAACTGGATTGCTTTACCCCAGAAGATAGGTAATAACATATATAACAAAAAAAAAAGAAAAAAAACCCTAATGAAAATATAACTTCCTTTGATCTACTGATTTGTTTTTTAAAATTGAAAATTTTATCTTCTTGATCATCAGGGCTTAGAAGATGCGGGAAAAGCTGTCGCCTCCGGTGGCTGAATTATCTTAGGCCAAACATCAAGCATGGTGGCTTTTCTGAGGAGGAAGATAACATTATTTGCAGCCTCTACCTAAGCATCGGAAGCAGGTAATCATGACTGCATGATCAAAGTCATCCAAAAAAAGGATATTTCTTTATTAATTAATTAGATGAAATGAACTATTATATTATATATTATATATATATATATAAAAGTTGATCTTGTACATGTTTTCTCTTATTTAGATGGTCGATTATCGCGGCACAGTTACCAGGACGGACTGATAATGATATAAAGAACTACTGGAACACGAGACTGAAGAAGAAGCTATTAGGCAAACAGTGCAGAGAGCAGGCTGCAGCTCAGGCCCGGCGGGCCAATAGCCTAATGCAAGGTCATCAACTGAAGAGATCAGAAAGTAGTACTTTTGATCATCATAATAATATCAATCTTCCTCATGGCTCGTTTTTGAATCAAACGGCACCCTACTGGCCAGACCTACCTGCGGTGCTAACCGTGCCGGTGGCCACCAATCAAAGCAGCCACGTTGTCGACGTCACCAATATCTCTCAAGTACTCAAGGAAGACGACAACGCCGGCCGCCATCAAGCCTCCATAAAGAACTTGCTGATCAAGCTCGGAGGAAGATTCTCCGAAACCGCGAGTACTGATCATCAATTCCATAACGGTACTAATTACCCTGCGGATCAGCTTTCCGCTGTCCAAGATCAAGCATATTCTCTTGATATGCTTAGTACTTATGATGCTGTAGGACCGACCATGTACCAAGGGCTTGAGAATCTTCAATCTGAGCTAAGAGAACTGATATATAGCAATCATCCACAACAAGCAGTCTTATTGGATGGTATTAGTACTAATAATTCTGATGGGTTCTGTGGAATAATGGAGCAAATGTTCACGGGAAGTACTACTACTACTGCTGCTACTACTGGAACAAGTACTACTTCTGTGGACAGCGGAAGCTGGGGAGAGATGAACAGCTCTTCCTTGGTTTTCGCGACAAATATGGTATCGGATTATGGCAACTACCAACTTCCTCATCAAGATTCTGCTTTTGAAGAGTCAAGATACTTTGAGACGAGTACAACGGCAATGTAAATAATGCATGTGGGGCATAATTGATCATGATCTCGGATCTTTGAGCTAGCTAGGTTAGTTAGCTAGCTTGAAAACCATAAGGGAATTTGTGATCTAAAGGGAGGATTTGTTTCTTTTTATTAATCAATATTATTAATTTCAGTCATATACCTTCAATTCCATTTAATTTGATAATTGATTTTATTGATCTCCTTTCTGATCATGATTAGCTACTTTCTTTGATTCTATATGTAAGATAACCATCTTTCTTTTGTTTCCTTATATATTATTGTTTCATTTTGTTTTTATGAAACAGGATTGTTGCTTTTCTTCTTGCCTTGAGAACTAAGAGATAGCTTTTCGTTGATGGTGACTGTGTTTGGGAATCTTAGGACACCTTGAAATATTTTTCATTTTATCATATCCTTTCCACTTGCATGGGGTCTAATATATTCTGCAGCAGACCTCGAGTTCAATCATATTGTTTGAGTCCAGAAATAGAAAATAATAATAATAATAATAATAATAATAATAATAATAATAACTCATCTGTGCTTTTTTTTTTGTCAGATTTCATTAGCATGGTAATTTATTCCAATGCATAGAAATTTAAAATTAAATAAAGTTTTGAGATTTTTATATTGGTAAGTGTGCTTAATAAATTTATTAGCGAAATAGAGAAGAAAAACTAGTATTAGATGAACTAATTAGTACATCCCAACTAAATTGGTAATATATATATATATATATATAATATTAAGTTCATATCCCACACCAAGCCTTCTTCTCTGATAATATTTAAGTATTTTCTACTACAATATTGATAGATATATATTTAATTTAGAACTTTATAAACCATGGTCTTTTTCTTAGTTACAAGATTTTTTTTTTAAAAAAAAGAAAAGAAAAGAACACATGGGACTGAATTGCATGTGTCCCGAAGTAGCCCATAAAGCTTCACATGAAAAGGCAGATGGGAAAAGGCGCATGCCTTGACGTATTTGGCGCAACTTGCTCGGCTCTACCAAGCAAGGGCATCGGAATATGGCTGCTTCCTCTTATTGGTTTCTCCACGTTTGCAATATAAACAAACAATCTCAAAACTCTATATATTGGCACATCTTATATATGTGATATTTATAGTAATTATGTACTACATTTTGTGTTATACAAAGTACTAGCTAGCAGGATGAAAAAGTTAAGCACTTCCTATATTTGTTCATTGAAGTTAATGGGTATTTTAAGTGGCACAATTCTTGTGCTTGGGCCAATTCTTGCAGAATATTCATTGTCCCGGCCGTATCTATCAAATTCAGCAATCTGATCATACCTCTTTTTGTTTTTTGTTGTCTCCCTAAACATATCGCTTCATGAATGTATGCATCCAAATATATAGAATTTTGTGAGTAAATGTAGTATCCAAATATAAGAATCTTTTTTTTTTTAACGTAAATAGATAGAGATAAACGGATACTTGAGAAACTTAGAATAATATTCGAACTAGGTTGACACTCATTAAAAACATTTAATTGAAGTGAATTTTAAATGGTCTAATATATTGAGTGGAAGTATTGGAATACACGTTCAAGTTGTTTCTCGTTTAGGGGGAAGCAGTAAAAATCTTAGCTATAAATAATAAGTTGTGTTGAGGCAAAATCCTAGTGAATTATGAACTTAGCAGAATTTTTAATGGAAAGAAATCTCAAATTGGCTAAAAAACAATATATATATATTTTGTTAACATATAATCCGGCCATATAGAACGTGAAGATTAATAGGCTGAGTTTGATTTTCGTTGGTGATCACCCTATATAAAAATTGGAAAACTACATTACGTGGCTGCTTAATTTGTTTAATATTAAGCATGTTTGGTTTGAAGTGCTATTAATTTAAGTTGTACCATCTAAGTATTCAATCCATTTCCCGTACGTTACGGCTTTACTGAAGCATTTAAATATTTGATCTATATGATTTTGAGATTTCATTATTTAAATCGAAGTGCATGTTTATGTCATAAGAGGACCACTAGGAAAGGCTAGCTAGCTTCTATTGATAATAACTGAAACAAACATATTAATACATAATGACATAACATATGGTTTAGTGTTAACAAAGTACTATATATATAGTGGCGGAGTTGTTTCAGGGACGTAAACTAAAAATATTAAAAATGTTAAAAACACTAATAATATTAACTCTTAATACTGTTAATTAGTTGAGAGTAAATGTATGTGCATATTGTTTAGTTTATTAAATTTTTTGATACGTGAAATAAAATTTTAAAGAGAAAAGTGCAAGTTTTAAAAAAAAAAGGTGTTTACTACCTCAACAAAGGTATAAATTAGAGAAAAGTTGTTTATGAGCAATTAGTAATTGAGAGGGTTACTTAAGAAAATGCTTGATTAGGAAAATATTTAATTAGAAATATAATTTTTGGTGAGGCGTACTTTTGATACAACAAAGATTGTATGAAAAAAATATTTTAAAAGTGACAAATTTGAAAAAATATAACTTTTAACTAGAGTAAAGTAAAAACTTTTAATTAGATACATTTAAAAGTATAAGATTTAATAGGAAAAAAGTTTGGATTTTGGTTGAGATATTTTGAAATTTTTGTTAATGAAAGGAGGCATATATGAAATTTTTTTTAAAAAATATGGCGTAAAATTTAAAAACCAAAAATCTACGGGGGACATTTGCCCCCTAAGGCCTCACCTCCCTTCGCCTCTATATATATACACACATATATATGTATCATGGTAATGCAAATTGCTTAAAGTTTAATGATCATATAAAGACTAAAGTAAGCATAAAAATTCACGATCTAAAATGGGGACTGAACAAACAGTCACTAGTACAAAAGGAAGAAACAGTGACGAATCGTCGTTAAAAAATATAACATCATAAAATTAATTGGGAGTTATATCGTATTTATTAATTATTTATATAACTGATTCGTTACAAACTATATATAAACAGGATTGCAGAAAAAGAAAAAAGAAATACCACAAAAAAACTGCAGAGTGGATTATACATTTAGCCCCCGTGAAAATACAGTTCGAGTATTTTAATTTCCAGTCAATTACGTACTAAATGTTACCGTAAATACATTTCACAATATAATTGTAGTGGAAACCAAAATCAGAAGTTAAGGGGGGGGGGGGGGGGGGGAAAAAGGGGGGGCGGGGGGGGGGAGGGAAAAAAGAGGTCTCTGATACACCATTCCATTTCCTGTAATTCGTCTTTATCCCTGTGCGCATTTATTCTTAATTTACCTAACTGTTCATCAAGAGTATTTTATTCACTCGGTCAAAAAAGTAACAATAAATATATTGCTCATCGCCAGCAAGCCATGACATTTCCTGATTCATGTTTCATCAGCATTTCGATCCTCTGAGGTCATTAATTATAGCTCCTTTCTCTGTAGTCATACTTACTGCTTGTATCTATACTTTTATCTCATCTATTTTTTTCTTTAATATAATACGGAATTAAACCCGCAACCTCCACCCGAATTCCAACCCATCCAAACCCCCCAATACCACTAGATCAAAAGGTCTAAAGCTTTTTATTCCATGTATTGGAACATAAATTAACGATATATATTCCACGTTCTTACTGAATAGTCTGAATCTGTAGCGATTAGTCATATCACTTCTTGATATAAGGTTCGTCTAGGAGAGTTTTTGCTTTTGTTTTTACTTTTAATCAGTTAAAAAAAGAAACAAAAACTGTAGATTTTTAGTAAGTGTTAAAATAAAAGAGTTTAATGGATTAAAATACTTTTTAAATTTTCTACTAAGCAATAAATGTGTTGGAATGAAGCTTAATGAAACTCTAATACAAGTTTTAAAGTCTATTTAAAGTGCTTCTTTCAGAAGCTTCGTTTCGTGACTTTGACTGGAAGCTCTTCTAAAAAGTCAAAGCACTTTTGACACATCATTTAAACACTCCCAGAATCAGTTTTTAAAACCAGAAAATTAAGTTTATGCTTTTCATGCTCAAAGTGAAAAGGGATTCAAATTGTTATTGTGATTTGTGGAAGGTTTTTTTTTTTTTTTTTTTTTTTTTTTTTCTTTTTTTTTTTTTTTTTCAATTGTTGCTTGAGTGGGTATATACGTGTATATTCTAGTTTCCTTGAGTGGATATTTTTTCCATTGGCTGAGGAAGCCTCTTCTGCCCATGAGTGAAAGAGTAGTCTTTTAAGTTAGAGATTCTACCAATTTAATTATGTACATTTTTTTTTTGTTTAAAACTTTTCTAAGGCTTTTTGGCATCTTTATTAATTTTCTGTTGTCTTAGAGCACTTTTTCTGTAATTTTTTTTTTTAATTAGGAATGTTATGTGATGCTAGGTTTCCCTATTTCTTTGTAAAGTAACATGTATCATCATACAATTTTAGTTCACAATCTAATTTTCGTTCCAGATCTTAAATTCTAATATCATGATTTGCATTTTTCAATCATATAAGATGTTATTATTGTAGTGAAAACGCAAAATAATTTTCATGACTCGCTAGTTCAACACGGAAAATTCATATATACATATGTATATATTTTCCTGTGTACATTAATTAGAGAAAAGATGTGAATCCACTAATAACAATTCTGCCAATTGGTGAAAGGCATCATAGCGTGATGTCCCACATCACTCAGTCGACGTTCTAGAGTACTATATTCAATCGATCTCTTGACATTACCTCTAACAAATAATTAAAATTTTAGGTCTTTAATTGTTGGACTAAATATACAACATATGTATCAGTCCTATTATGAACATGTCAGCCTGAGTCAAAGTCGATTATCTTTCTTCAATTTTTATCTTCACTAAAATAAGAAAATAAATATATATCAATCATGTATTAGATTCAAATTTATATATAGTACTCAAAGTATTGAAAGACAACGTTCCACACTCTTGCTCTTTTCTTTTTGAGGTCAAACGAGTCGAAATCAATTATTGGACTATGATTGATATATCACAATAGTTGTTGCAAACTGGATCATATAAATTACTGCCTTTAAAATCTTGACTTTGTTATTTTGTTTGGTAATAGAGAATTGACACGTTGCATTAATGAATCCACCATAATTGTTGATTTGTCGATATTATGTGTAGAAACTTCAAAAGTCCATTGATAGTTAGTAAAACCAACTCTCACATCAATAATTTTCAATACATTATTTA